CATTTCTTTTGAGCCTAGGTTATTGTTTTCATATCAGTTTCATGGTTTCTATATTGTTACCTCAAACAGTCGTTCAGTATAATTCCATACAACAGATTTACCTTGTATCGAATCATGTTCGAAATTTGTTCTGATTGGGCGCCAATCTATGATGTTATTTTTAATATAGTTCTATGGTTTTACGCAATGGAAAAAAATTACATTCCTTGGACAAGTGAGACTCCATTGTCATGGAAAGCTTAACTGCGATCGGAAACTTTGATTTCTTGCTTTTATGGATAACAAAAAAAAAAAAAAAAAAAAAATGGTCATTTTAAATCGTAAGTCGAACTTTGGATGGAACTGATAGGAGTTGGTAAAATTTCCTACAGTATTTAATTGGGCGCCATTAGCATTTCGTATTTTCTTGCACATTTACCCCAAATTTCTGTAATATGAAGTGGTTAATTTTCAATCCAAAATGCTATTAAACTAAAACAATATTTTATTTTATCATTTCAAGAATTGTTTAATTGGGCGCCATTTTACACTAAGTTTTTTTTTGAACATAAATTGTTGATATGGATTTACTAGATTCTAGGTGGTAATATTCCTAGATCGATGAGGTCCCTGCCATTTTTAATTGTAAGTCGAACTATTGAGGAAAGGTATAGGTACAAATGTCTAATTGGGCGCCATTCAAAGATGACATCTTCTTAGATCTTTTCTCCTGAGAGTTGTTATTCTTGCAGCTTTAAGGACTTATACTATGTTATGTGATCGTTGAGTGAGTGCTGTTTGGGTTGTTTTAAATCAGCATCAGACAAACCACTGCAGCGTATTTCTTTTAGACTAATTTCTGTGTAAAAAAAAAAAAAACAACTTATGTGAATAATTTAACCAAAATAGTCTTTCCGACTGTCATTTATTTTTATTGTGAGATCGCGACATTTGATCTGCTGTTTCTCCTCATAAGTTGCGGTCCTTGAGAGTTAGGGATCAGGCTATAGAAGAGAGTATTAACTTGATTTTAATTTGTTTATAAATAAAAATGTAGTTAAACTACATTTGAGTGCCTAGGCATACTTCTGTCTCCAAAATCTAATTCAATGTTGTATAAAAAAGTTCCGCCCAAGAAATTGTAATCTAAAATTAAAAAAAACAAGCGATAATTCGTCAAAAAAAAAATTGAACACGAACAACTTATTAGTCAAACGAGAAAATTGCCACCAGCAACTGCAGTTCAATGAGCCTATCACCTCACCTCTGCCTACAACTCCGCTCACGATAATATTTGGTGTTAGAATGACGTTCCATACACCCACCCACCAAAAACAAAACCTAAAGAAAGAAAAAAACGACATTCAAATACAAAATGTGTGTGTGGCATCGCATGGCATGGTGTGGTGAGTTTATTGCACTTGTGTTCATTAATCGTGATTAACATTCGCTTGTTCGTCGCTACCTTTGCTTTTGTGTTGAAGTTTTGTTGCAGTATCGTTTTTGCTGCTGTTGTTGTTGTTATTTTTTTTTGCAACATGAATGAATTCCTAGCCAGTATTTTTCTATATATCACGTTTGCATGTAAGTGTTAAATGTCTGCTGTGCTCTTCGTCGAATGCGAGTGTGTGTGTGTCTGACCGGTGTTTTGTTGTGCTCACGTTAGGTTTTGTGTAAAATGCCGCGCGTAAATTGACACTAGTCTATGGCATTAATTGCCGTTTTTTTGCTGTGGCAAAAAAGCCCCCAACTAGTCAGTCAGCCAGCCTGTTTGCCCAGCCATCATCATTGTAGGTTTGCCAGGTTTGAGTTTGTTCATACTTTTTTCTTGTGTTTTATTATTGTTATTATCAACGTGTGTTTGTGTGTGAATGTGTTAAATGGCGCGGCGTTGTTGTTCCCGCGCCTTTGGTTGGTCAAAGAATCTAAATCATCACACCATTTTGAGTGTGTTGCTGCTGCTGCAGCTAACATCTTCTTCTTCTTTTTTTCCTTTTGTCTTCATCGTTGCTGGTGTTGTTGTTGTTATTTTGACGCTGTTTTTAGTTTTGTTGGGCTTTGTTTACTTTTTATATTTTGTTGTTTTGCGCCTTCTTCATGTGAGAGGTGCGACCGACGGCTGTTAAAGGAGAGTAAGTGTTGTTTGGGTGTTTGTGTGTGCGTGTGAATAATGGTGGAGAGTTTGCCTTGTGTGAGTGTGTGTGTGAAGGCAAGTGTGTGTATGCTTGGTGTTGATGTCGCATTTGTCCCTTTCGCTCCAATGAATTTTATAGGGTTATAAAGAGCAAACACAGTCATGCCAGCCAGTCAGCCAGCAAGTCCAACGACACACAGTGCCGATGTCAACCTTTGAGTAAGTGTATGAGTGTGTGTTTTGTCTCAGCTCTTGCTGTTGTGTTATTTTTTTTTGTGATTCCCTTGTGAGGGGAGCCAAATGTTTTGTCGTTGAAGTAAACTTGCTATCTCTGAGAGTCTCGGGCTTGAGCATGTTTTGTGTGCTTTGGTGTGTGTGTGCATTTGTGGTAAAACATGTCACACAATCTTGCTCACAGATTAGGGATTTTGCCTCGTACACTTTAGGTGTCGGTATTGGTGTTGATGTCGTCGTCGCCGTCATCGTCAACGAGTGTTATGCTGTGATATGTCTCGGCTTAAGTGTGCTGCTGCTGGTGTGTTGTGCTCTGTTCGTGTGTGTGTGAATTAGAGGGTTTGCCATTTGTTTACCGTATGATGGCTGCGATGGTGTTGGTGCTGGTGTGTGTGCGGCCGTTTTCTTTTGTGTGCGGATATTTACGCTTATTAGAAAAGTTACGTCTTGTTCTTTCGCTCTTATGGAATTGTCACATAAGTTGTTCTCCATTTGTGTTTGTTTTTGTTGCTGCTTTGGCTACATGCCATTCGTTGGGTATTTTGTGGCAGCAAAAAGTGTCGCCTTTTCATTCGCTCCTATGACACAGAGAGCAAAGACATTGTCTTCGTCGTTGCTATCGTTGTTGGTCGTATAGATTAAGAAAAGAGAAAAACATGATTTTTTTTCTTCAAGAGATTGCGGGTGGTAAGAGGCGGAGGATTTTTGTCATCTGCCTTAGCACAAGGTGACAATGTTTGCTAGTTGAAAAAAATTGGTTTTAGAGAGCAATTGAAGCTGGCCAACCATTGAGCCATTTGTTGTCGTTGTTGTTGTTATTTTTAGTGTCTCTGGCTATGTGACAAAAATCCTTGTTATTTCCACAGCTCCTTTTAAAATACCAGGGCCTATTTGCTGCTTCTAATCCCTAATAGTTAAGGGAAGATTTATACCCCCTCTCTTATATTCTAATCCCCCTCATATATTCTAATCCCTGTCAACTGAGTGGAGATTTGTGTAGCCTCTCTCCTTTCCCCATCCTCACCTATTCCTTTATGTCCAAAGACAAACAAGTTGTCGCCTAACACGTTAAACAAATAAAGCTGTCTCGTTTACACTGCCTGAGTTGTTGTGGAGTAGTGGAAATATGTCTTGTCATTTAAGTGTGAGAAGTTGTCACCCCAACAAAAAATGAAAAAATAAAGTTGTTGTTGTTTTTGCACAAGAATTCTGGTTTCTTGTCTTGTCTCGTGTTGGGGCTTGCTGTTGTTGTTGCTGCTGTTTTTTTGCACAATTTTTCTTTGCTTGTTTAGGAGAGCATTGCTTCTTTTGAAAAGCTCGTAATATAGTGATGGTGGTGTACGAGTGTGTATGTGTGTGCGTCTGTGTATACGTGTTGGTAATAATGTTTTCACTTATTGTCACCTGAATAGTGATATAAGTCTATCTCTTTTTCACGCCCCAAAAAATACGAAAACTAGACTCTCACACCCCCTGCAAAAAAGTGTCAACCACCCTATGGTATGGTAACACAACCAAGAGACCCAACAATTCTAGTTCAAATCCCTGACCATGTTGTTACTTTTTTAATTTTTTAACTTTTTTTCAGCTGTTTGTCTGCATTTTGTTTCTTAATTTTGTCAACCAAAAAGCTACTGGCTCTTTTTTTATTAACATAACTCTCAATTTAATGCTCACTCTTTATTTCTCTCTCGTTCACAAAGCACTCTCTCTCTCTGAATAACACAAACCCCACTCTTGTTGTTATTAGAAAACTGAGTGATTCTCCAAGTTCCAATTGGAAAACAACCTTATTAAACCGGTTACTCTCTTACACTGTCTCTCTCTCTCGCGGGATTATTATGACTCTCATTAACTAACCCTCTCTTTTGTTGAGTCTTAACGGCACTGTTATGCCTGCCAACCAAACCAAACACTGTGTGTATTTGCGTTTGTGTGCGTGTGTGTGCATGCATGCTGGCCTTTTGTTTTGTTCGTTGTGAACATCGGTGTGTGTGTGTGTGTGACGGCATACGTCGCACCTCTGGGGGTTGCACTACTCAGATTTGTGTGTGTATTTCCAGTTTGCAAGCGACCGGCGTTAAGCTCGTATCGGTGGTGTACGAAATTCATTTACGACGTGTAGTATTTGTTGTTCTGTTTTATTTTTTCGGTTACACATTAAATGGAATTTCGTGTTGTTTCATGAAAATAAAAAAATATTACAGCCTACGACGGTGGGGTTTATTCCAACAGCAACAAAAAGGCCAAGCCGAAAAAGGGTTTTGGCAACAACAACAAAAGAAAAAACTGATATAAAACCCCAAGATAACAAGTGAATAAAAATAAAAAACAACAACAAATAGAGAATTAAACAAAAAATCCAAGGCAAATGTGATTAAAACAACAAATATATAGTAAACAACAACAAATAGAAAAGAAGAAAAAATAAACGAAAAATTCAAATTGTGATTTATTTTAAGCAACAACAAAAAATATCAATTCAAAATAAATATTACAAAAAAAAAATTACATTAACGAAAATCTTTGTGGAAAATTGTGCAATTTTTTTATAACAACAAAACAACAACAAAAAATAATTTAACAAATAAACAAAAAATAAAATACCAATCGTGTGTGTGTGTGCTTCGTCGTCTTCTTGCCATTGCCGATATTTCATTCCTAGTTCTTGATTAACGAATGTAATGTAATGAGATACGATACCCAGGAGTTGCTTCATCAGTCAGCTGAAGATCCATTCGCCAGGTTCGCAAATGGTATGGCATATCACCCATTTCTGCAATTGTCTCGACCCACTGACTTCAGCGTTTCCTCGCTGTTGACGGCGGGAAATCAAACGACAACGCAGTCGGCCGTATCTGTCGACTCCAGTGGCACTTCATCGTCATCCGGCTCATCGGCCACCGCCGCTGCTGTCTTGCCTCCAGCTGCCACCTCACCGCCCCGGCACTTGGCCAACGTCCAACAGCAGCAACCAGCACATCATTTGGCCGGCATTGCCGGTGGCCAGTCATCGCCAGTTGGTGGTCAGCAACCGCCTCCACTGTCACCGGGCCAAGAATCCCACAGCAACAATAACAACAACAACGAATCCTCGAATTGCATCGCATCCCGACAACCTCCCTCATTATTGAACTGTTCCAACGATAGCACCAACAGCAGTGAGGCCACAAATCCTTCACGTGCCACCACAGCCACCAGCAGTAGCAACAACAACAACTTGCCGTCGGCTTTATTGAGTGCCTCGCATTTAGCTGCTGCTGCCGCCGCTTCAGCTGCTGCTGGCCACACCATACCACCGCATTCATCACCTCAAGCTCAAGCCCAAGCGCCACCACCCACACATCCACATCACTCACCAGTACCTGGTCACTTAGGATCGCATTTGCCTCAACAGCCACCGTATTTTCCAGCAGCTGCCCTGGCCGCTCTAGCCGGTAGTCCAGCGGGTCCCCATCCGGGTTTATATCCAGGCCCGTTGCGTTTTCCACCCCACCATCCACATCATCATCATCCGCATCCGTTGGGCACAGCCTATACGACAGCGGAAGACGTGGTCTTAGCCTCCGCCGTGGCCCATCAACTGCATCCGGCAATGCGTCCCTTGCGTGCCCTACAGCCGGAGGAGGACGGTGTTGTGGATGATCCCAAGGTGACGTTGGAGGGCAAGGAGCTGTGGGAGAAATTTCATAAGCTCGGCACGGAAATGGTCATAACGAAAAGTGGAAGGTAAGTGAAACGATGAAAGAAAAAAAAGAAATTATGAAAGGAATATTTGTTGAGAAATACCGACGGCTTTGAGTAGTGGACGATAAGAAAGGACAAAAAAGAAAGAAAAGGATACAAATTTAAGAATAAAGGATGGAAAATAAAAGAAGAAGAAGAAACAAAAAATAGTGAAATTAGTGATTAAAGAAATGTAAAAGCCATTGAGTAATTGAAAATTGTTAGCTAGGTTAGAATTTATTTCTGTTTCTAAAAATATATTTTTTTCAAAAAAATATATTTTGAATAATTATATTGTCCATAGCTTTTCGAAATATATTTTTTGAAAAAAAAAATATTTTGAAAAACATAAAGCAATATTTTAGATAAAGGAATAAAAGAAATATTTTTTTTAAAGAATATTTCAAATAGAGATTCGATTTTCGAAAATGAAAAAATTGACCAAATGAAAAAATCAAATCGATTTGTCTCTCCTTTGAGATAATAGCCGCTCTCTCCGAAATATGTTGCGAACAAGTTTGAGAAATATGTCGTAAAATTTGTTTAGAAACTAAAATATCATACAAAATTTACGTTTTCTAATATTATCGATTTCAAAACTCTAGAACCCTATGTTTTCCATCAGCTGTTTTTACCAGTCAGCTGTTTTATAAAACATAACTTATTTTACGTAAAGCATACAATTTGCACTTGAATTGGATCAAAAATTATTGATTTTTTATTAGAAATATCGTTTTTGATTAAATAATGATACGTTTCGCTCAATTTTCGTTAGAATTTTTTTTATGTTACCAGAAATATTTGAAATAATTCATTAAACTTCTTAGGAATATTTGTTTACAATTTCTTCTCCAAGGCTGAAGGCAGGTTCCTTCTTTGAAATATAGATTGAAAATAGTGTGTTTTTGATATTATTTCAGTATGAAAAATAAAATTAATTCTATAATGATTTGTTACAAACTCGCTTTAAACGGCATATACATTTTTTGTCAATAATGTAAAGGAATTGTCAATTGAAACCCACTGGGTTAGCGAAATCCAGTTAAATGTAAACGTACTATTACTCCAAATTTAAAACCATACTGAATTTAGAAAAAAAAAATTTAAATTAACTCACTATTATTTTTTTTCATTAACTTTTTTTATTAAAAAAAATGCAGACAGACCTAATATGCAAAACTCTAAACTCTCTTTGTTTCTCAATGAATTTAATTTTCCCTTTTTTCAACTAATTTGTTCTTTGTTTGTTGTTGCTGTTATTTTCGATGTTGCATTAAAAAATCATTACTAAACGAATTAGTTGTTAAAAGTAATTTCTCAAAAGTGTTTGCAACAAAACAGGAAAATGTGCGTTTTGTTTAAAGAAATGAAATTAGTGAGTGAGCAAGCAAGGGTTAGGCTGCTAGACAGCCAGAACAGCAGTAAATTTTTCAATGAATTTCAAAATGGAAAAGTGCGCAAGATATCAAGCGTATCACAAAGTTTTGTAAACATTAAAAGTTTATTACTATTATTTTTTTATTTTATTTATAAATTTTGATATAAAAAATGGGAAGGAGAGATAATGGTTTGTAAAATTGAAACAAATATTTTGGAAATTAAAATGGAATTGAATTAAGTGAAACAAATTAGAGGAGGGTAATAATTAAAGGGAAATGGGTAAATAATTTAGGGAGATATTTACAATTGTTTTAAAGTAAAACAAAATTTTAGGAAACTAAATCGTGACCTTTAAAGTCTCCCAGAAAACTCCGAAAATTTTTTCTGAAGCTTCCACTTGTCCTAGGAGGCTTACTACACCTTTAATTTGTCTATATAGACGGTTTGCGATAATAAAATTTAATATACTTATTTGATTATTTTAAATTAAAACAATTTTTTTAGGAAATTAAATCGAGACCTTTAGTCTCTCTGAAAAAATTTCTGAAACTTCTGCTTGTCTAAAGTGATTTGATAAAACTTTAATTCGTCTATGAATACGGCTTGAGACCCCTTGAACCCTGCTGAAACACTCTCTAAATCTTTAGAACCTCTATGGGATATCAAACATCCTCATTCTGCTCATTTATAGAGATTCATTTCATCTAACCACTCTGGGTGAATTATAGAACCTCTAGTTTTTTTTCAGTCCATTTTATATGGGAGATTTCCTGATTACAGAATTTTTCTGAAACACTCTTTAAACTATTAGATCGCCTATAAGGAAGAAAACATCCACATTTTTAGAGAGACTCACTTCAGCTAACTATTCTGGTTGCTTTTATAAAATCCCTACTGTCTAACCACTCTGGGTGGATTATAGAACCTCTAGTTTTTTTCAGTCCATTTCATATTGGAGGCCTTTTCCTGAACCTTTTTAGAAAAACCATTCCGATTCTGTTCATTTATACAGACTCACTTCGGCTAATCGCTCTGGTTGTATTATTATATAACCCCTACTTTTTTTCAGCCCATTTTATATTGGAGACCTTTTGATTACAGAATCTTTATGAAACACTCTCTGAACTATTAGATCGTATGGAAGAATCCTATCCTTCTCATTTTTAGAAACTCACTTCGGCTATCTATTCCGATTGCTGTTTTCAGGCCATTTTATATTCGAGTCCTTTTGGAATGCTGAAGGAAAAAAATTAAATAGGAAAACTGAATTCTTCGAGGATTTTTTTTAATTTAATTTCGTGTTTAAAAAAATTGTGAAAGAATTACAATAACTAGATTTGAGATTTGCAGAATTATAATTTTTAAAATAAACAGAATTCTGAATAATTTTTCATAATAAACGCACATGATTAACTTCATATGGACCAATATTTATAATCCCTGAAGCGCTTCAATATTCTTATCACACATATATACTCTATTCGTCCATTGAAATCATTTATATTGATATATTGAGCACTTCGAAACCCTACATCGAGTTGTACAATATATCGAGAACAGATGGCGATAAATATATAATTCCGCTATTTTTTGTAATACCCTTCTTTTTGTCGGGACAGAGTGTCTCATCAAACCCAATTAATATTATTGAATCTAGTTAATATATTTATTGCTCTTCTTAAGTAGATTCTGATTCTAGAAAAAAATTGTCTGAGGGTATTCTCCCGATACTGAACAGCGTCGGAAAATAATCTCTTGTGTGTTCTCAATGACTCCAAATTGTAAGTATGGAAGCGGCGCTTAGTGCGACGGCTCTAATTATTTCACTCCGGAGCTTGTTTTTAAGTTTCTAGACATTTTCATTATTCATTCAAATTTCTAGCCAACGAAATATTGAATTTATTTTATTTTCTTTTCGCCTTCTTCTCTTTAAGAAATATTTTTGCTCTAGTAAATTCGATGCCATTTTTTGATTTTATTGCTCTTCAGCAGCTATGCATTATAATAATCTCGCTCTCTTTCCAATTGAGAATATGTATGAATTATTTCCTAATTTTTAAAATAATTTATTATTTTAGAATTATTTAAAAATAATTAAAGTAAGATGTAAATACATCCAAAATTTCATTTTGGGAATATTTAAGAAATTCTCTCTTCTTTTCTCTCTTTATTTTCATCTATGAAATTCAGTTTAGGAATTTAGTTCATAACATTTAATTTCAGTTATGGAATTTTTGAATTCAGAATATATAATAATTGATAATTTTTAGGATTATTTTAAATCAATGTTATAAAATCTTATCTAAAATATCACGTTTGAAATATTTATGAAATCCGCCCCTCTTTCTCTCTTCATTACCATCTATGAAATTCAGTTTAGGAATTTAGTTCATAACATTTAATTTCATTTAGGAATTTAGAATTTATAATAATTTATTTTGTTTAGGATTATTTTCAAATAATTAAAGTCAGAAGCATATATTTAAAATATCATATTGGAAATATTTAAGAAATTCTCTCTCTTTCTCTCTTCATTGGCATCTATGAAATTCAGTTTAGGTATTTAGGAATTTAGTTCATAACATTTAATTTTATTTAGGAATTTTGAATTTAGAGACTACCGAAATTTTTCTTTGTTTTCTTGAAATAAATTTAATCATATTTAGTTTGTTTTCAAATACTTCAAAATAAAATACACAATAAATATGAGTATATACAAAAATGATGTTCGGGAAGTATGTGATGACAATGATGGCAACTCAAAAGAAAAAAAAAAAACAAGAAGTACTGCAGAAAACATAAAAAAACTTAAATTCAGCAAAGAAGCGTCGTCTTTGTGGCGCCAGTGAAATATCAAAGATTTTTTTTTCGATTGTCCACTTCTTTTATTTTTGAGATGGTCAGCGGCAGAGGCAACAAACCGTTGTTTCGGCTGTCCTTTCCTCTCCCAAAAATCAACTACGATTTTTTGGCAATAAACTGAAATTTGTTGTTGTTGTTGCTGCTGATATTCCAACAACAAAGTGGGAATGTTTTTTTAGCAAGTTACGTGTGCTGGTGTTTTAATAACTGCCTGGCTGCTGCCCATCAACATCAACGAATCGACCTCATCAACTTGAAATCAAGCATCACGCTTTTCGGCAAGTCTCGCTGCCATGGCGGGGTTTGGTTAGACAGAAATTCAGTTAAAACAACAACAAAGATTGCCACAATTTTAAAGTGTCGCTTATACAAAACTTCCTCTCTCCTCCCCTCGTCTCTTTGGGTCTCTTTCGGCTGCCAAAAAAGGGGTCTCAAGAATTAAAGCGCGTTTATGATGCGTTTATGAGATAACAACATGTAAGAATGAACGCTGCTTGTGTTGTTCAAAAGCCCAGCGACACAAGTTGTCATAAACTTAACGAATATCACGGCATCTCCAGAGTCCACAAAAAAAATCAACAGAAAAATCCCACCAAAACGTAATCAAAAAGAAGTCGAACAGACAAAAACCAAAAAAAAAGAAATATTGAATTGAAATCAAACATGCAAAGAATTGTAAGAAGCATCATCAGGCCTCTCAAAGAACACGACCAAAGAGCAGCAGCATAAAAAAAATCAAAAGAAGTCAGACAACGTCTGCT